TTTGAAATGATAGGCAGTTTTGTAAAAATCACCATAAATTGTAGAAAAATCGTATGGAGATGTGCAAGTAGTCATTTTAAAGCTACAAACTTGAACTATTTGCACCTTGTACAGTTTTGAAAACAAAAATGTTTAAGATGCCCAAAACAGTCCGTGAATGGAGTTGAACTTTTCTGATGAAGGCTGTTAGAAAAATTTAATTATGTTCTTAGTGTTTTAACTTGTATTCCCCCCTGAAAACTTGAGAAAACATGAAAATGTAGGGGTATGGACTCACCTTAAGTGATTTCAGTAGGTAAGTGTTGAAGAAGAGAAGTGTTCAACCCAAGAACACTTGAAGAATCACTTGAAGATTTGAAAATCTAACACAATTATGAGAGAGTTTGTTTAAGTTATCCATGATTTGAGTGGAAATAAATGAGATAATCATAAAGAGAATGGATTATGCTTACCAAATGTGGAGGAAAAACTCAAGATCAGCCCTTGAATCTCGAATTTCTAGAGAGAGAAAGTGAGAGAGGAAAGAGTTTGATCTTCTTGTGAAATGAGAGCAAATGAGAGAAGTGAGGAGAGAGGATGAATATTCAGCACTCAAAAACATGGGAAGGAGGGATAATTGAGTGGAAAAGACATTGATGTGACCTAGGTAAGGTGGGGGGTGTGGCTGGTCATAGAGTGGGTGTGGGAGTGGTTGCTTGTGTTATAAGGTAAAGCAAAGTCAACACTCCACCTCTTTGTACTTTACCCACTTGCTTTCATTATTTAAATAAAGATTTTTATGAAAATATGATTAAATTGTGAATATTTAGGGTTTATTATGTTAAAATATGATTTTGGGTGAAATTCCCACGTTAAAATAATTAAAAACGGGCCTTAAACGCAAAACTACGCGAAAACCGGGAGAAAATGAGTTCCCAGCGAGACCTCTCGGTCCTAGGCCGAGGTTCGGTCCCTAGGCCGAGACCCGGTCCACGCTGAGGACTGTAGCCGGAAACGAACAGAGGGAAACGAAAGGGGCGAGTCAGACGCGAGAAGCGATGGGCGAGGGTTCGGTCCGAAGGGTTAGTGGGGTTCGGTTCGGGAATAAGAGGCGAGAATGTCAGAACCGAACGTACTGTAGTGAACAGTAGTGAACAGTACCTTCGGTTCGGTTTTGCATCAGGAGGGTTCGGTTTCGGTTAGTGGTGAACAATAGCTTCGGGTTCGGCTCAGGAGGGTTCGGTTCGGCTCAGGAGGGTTCGGTTCGGCATCAGGAGGGTTCGGTTTCGGTTAGTGGTGAATAGTACCTTCGGGTTCGGCTTAGGAGGGTTCGGTTCGGCTCAGGAGGGTTCGGTTCGGCATCAGGAGGGTTCGGTTCCTCTTGCTCTCAGTCCCTAAGAGGACTTTCGGGTCCTAAGAGGCTTCTCTCTTGGTTTCGGTTCCTAATGTCTATTTTTCTCGTTTTTACCCCGTTTTAAGCTGTTTTTGACACGGTTAAGCGTCGGAATGACCCGAATGATTCTAAAAAGTGACGGGAACTATTTGAGAGAGATTCGGGAGAGATTTCGCATACTTGGAGAGATTTGGGAGAGATTTGACATTCTTGGAGAGATTTCTCATACAAAGCGATATTTGCGAGAGTTTTCACATACTTAGAGGGATTTGGGAGAGATTTGACATTCTTGGAGAGATTTCTAATACAGAGAGATATTTGAGAGAGATTTCGCATACTTAGAGAGATTTGGGAGAGATTTGACATTCTTGGAGAGATTTCTCATACAAAGAGATATTTGCGAGAGTTTTCACATACTTAGAGGGATTTGGGAGAGGTTTGACATAGAGAGAGATAGTGTGGAAACGATTGAGAGAGGTTCCATGTGGGATAGTTGTGAGTGTCCGGCATCGAAATGTATGGTTTGTGAACCCTGTTAAGCCTTGTTTAAGGATCTTACACACTCCCGATGAGTATGCAACAATGTTTTATCGTTCTAGTTCATTGATTAGAACTAGGGTTTAGGAAATTTTTAACACAAGACTTTTCTCAAGTGATGTTTTCCCATTAATATAGCAAGTTATACAGTATGAACATAACACAAACCCTAATACACAAGGTTTAATCGAGTTGACCGGTCTTGACTTGATGATTTGACTTGACTCAAGATTGACGATTGTCACACCACAAGTGTGACCCTGCTGTCCTCCCGTCCTGGAATCAGCGGTTTTAGACTGCTTTGGCGTCGGCTATGATTGCGCTGGGGTCTGCCTCTGCTCTTTCAGTTGTAACTCAATCTTAAGCTCCTGCCGCCTAGCGGCCTCCTGTAACTCCATCAAAGTATCACGTCGCTAGGTAGCAACAAACTGAAGGATGTCAAATACATTTTTAACAATATACATACCATCAAAATTATGTCTAATGAGATTTGTTTTCTAATATGGTAAATCCCAAAATATGCTTTTCTTTTTCCAACCATAATCGCCACATCTTTTGTTTACATAATCAGCATTTAGTTTAGTCACTTTTACCAAACCTAATTGTTCAATCTCCCTTAAAGTTTGTTCACCATTCTTACTTGGAGGAGGAACTTTTGTCACTTCACGATTCTTCTTGAACTTATTTTTATCATTTCTATATTGGTGATTTACCTGTAGAAATCTTCTATGGCAGTCAAACCATGACATCTTATTACCATTCTTTAGTCTGAATGCTTGTGTATTTTTCCCACAATGTGGACATGCTAGCTTACCTGATGTAGACCATTCGGACAACATTAAATATGCTGGAAAATCGCTTATTGTCCACATTAAAGCTTCTTTTAGATGGAAATTTTGTTTTAACGATATATCATATGTTACTACGCCTTCTTCCGATAATTGCTCCAACTCTGCAACAACTGGTTGCAAAAATAGATCTATTTTATGCTTAGGGTTTGACGGACCTGACACAAGTGCGGTCAAAAACATGTAAGGCTCTTTCATGCACATAGAAGTTGGCAAATTATAAGGTGTTATAATAATAGGCCCAGATGAATATTGTTTTCCAAATGCTCCATGTGGTGCAAACCCATTTGTACTTAGGCCTAATCTTATGTTATGTACTTCTACTACAAATGAAGGATGACTTTTGTCAAAGTGCTTTCAAGCTTCTGAATCGGATGGATGACACATTAGTCCAGCATCATGTCCATGATCGGCGGAGTGCCATCGCATGGAAGTGGTTGTGGCTTGTGAAGCATACAGTCTCTTAAACCTTGAAGTCAAAGGAAAGTAATTCATTTTCTTGAAGGATAGACGAGAACATCTGGCCACATTTTTTGACCATTTGTACCTATCTGCATTGCAGAATTTTCACCGATAAAGATCTTTGTCTTGCCTCCAATATATCATACATCTAGATTAGTAGCAATCAATCATCTCCACAGGAAAAACTAGTGCTTGTATTAACTTTTTGCTCTCGTATAAATTATCTACCATATTATTCTCCTCCGGTAACACATCATTTTTCAACTGGCAGATAGCATCATAACTTTTCTCAGGTATGTGATACTCTGATTTTATATTCAATAGTCTAGCTACAACAGATAGTTGTGTCACCTTTTTACATCCAGGCCACAATTCTTTATCGGCTGCATCTAGCATATCAAAGAATTTTTTATCTAGTGCATTCGGCTCCTCTTCAGGATCACTATTATTGAAAGCAGGAGCCATTGTATCTACGACTATATCTCTATAAGAACATGCACCTTCACTAAAATTTGTGTTTCAATCATCCACCCCTAAAAACGTATTGTCATCATTAATTTATTTTTCCCCATGTTTATCCCAACACCGATATTCCTCAACAAAACCAAACTTGTACAAATGATGCTTAACAGTATCAACTTATGTATATGGTATGTTACGACATTTTATGCATGGGCATTTGATTTTATCTTCGTCCATGAACCTATGTTGACTGGTAGCAAAATCTATAAATTTTTTCACACCTTGTACGAAAACAAGCGATATACAACTAGTACTATCTTTTCGTTCATAGTTCATACATCCACTTTCTACTTGGATTGTTCATTGTCTTAATTCTGTAAAGTATAAACTTAAATAACACAATATTAATTGTATGTTCACTAATGTTGATTTGAATTCATATATGACATTTGAATTAAATATATAATTACTATACAAACATCACAAAGGTACCTTAACAATGACTCGTTTCACAAAACTAATAACTGAATGCTGAACAAATCTTCAAACTTTTCTAATTTGAATGGTTGAATAACTTTTATAATTGGATAATGGCTTACAATATTAGTAGAATGGTCTAATTGAGATCGACACTTGCAGAACACATATTCAAACAGAGTGTGTATCGATTAGGGAACCTTCGACAACCATTGATTTCAATGTGTTTGATGGATACTAGGTCATATTATTGGGTTGATATTATTCAATAACATGTTAAAACTCATGTAGTATACTGGTAAATATTATAAATTTAAATAACATCCATAATAAATATAGATATAGATCTACTTAAAATATAAATTCTATATATATATATATATATATATATATATATATATATATATATATATATATATATATATATATATATATATATATATATATATATATATATATAGCATTTTTCTTAAACGACTTGATTAAACAAATTTTTTAATTTCCATAACAAAATTGGTGTGTTCACTTTAGAGATTGCAAATACACCAAAGTGCCCTTGAAATCTAACCAAATAGGTCACAATGAACTTTTGGTTAGTAAAATGGAAAAGACAAAAATAACATACATATCAAAACTAATATATATATATATATATATATATATATATATATATATATATATATATATATATATATATATATAAACATTTAATAATGTTAAAAGTATGTATTCCCATTACACCAAAATACACATACAATATGCATCACTAATTGTATGAATCAAACAACTATCATATATATATATATATATATATATATATATATATATATATATATATATAACTACTCAAAAATAGTGTCAAACATCCTAGCAAACTTCACAAAACATGCATCCCACAAACAAATTTCACAATTCAGCGACCAACTGTATTTCATAAAAGTTGTTCCATAACTGCTCACAGAAGGATGCTTTGCACAACTTCTATGTAAGCCATGGAATTTTATCTGCTTTGATCTCCTTACCAAGTGGTTTTGAACCTTGTAACAGGTATGCCTTAGATTCCAACTTCTTCTAGTATTAACGTAGGCATTATTTAACATGATCATAGCTTCTTTCTTCCTTTCAATGCCTTCGGCCATTAGCATCATTCCCAAAATGAAGATCACATCCAACTGCCCCTGATCGGCTACATCTTGAAGCAATTGTTTCCCTGTTATTTCTTCCCTTATCATAAAATACTTCGCCTAACATACAATAAGTAATCATACAATTTTAAAAATAAAAATATAAATATAGAAAACTAGTTGAATTCGTAATTATCTGATTTCTTAAAAAAAGAGTACCATTCCATCGTTGAAAAGTACGTGTGGGTTGTCAAATTTCTGCATCTGCTTATGACTTCATACTGTTGAATACTTAATGGACGAAACCTTAGTCGATTTGTGTTTATGATTTTATATATTGTGTCTGATGTTACAGAATCCCTAAAGAGTTTGCAACTATAATTCACACAAATCAACAAAGTTAATCTATTGACTGCTAAATTAAATATGAATATAAATATAATATAAGTAATGCACATCATACTTACACTAACTGGAAATTAAAAGCATCGATTGGTGAATTTCCTCCAACCGTAGTTACTATTTTTTCGATCAAGAGCGATGGCAAAGCAATAAATCTTGTTCCTTGTTGTCTTGTTGGCATTCTTTCTGATGAACAACTCGCTGCCATTATGTTGAATTGCATCGAGTGTAATTCAAATTGTATAAAAACAATGATTTTAGGGTTGAATGATAAACGTGCCGGAATTTTGACTGTTGGGAATGGAATTTATATGATCAATCGTTGATAAACTGAATCGACGGCATGACTATGACTACAAATTATGGTGCCTCAATGTGTAGACTGTGATCTGACATAATTGCCATTTAACTAACAAAGATTACTACGTAAATGGTTAGGATATTTTTGTAAGTACCTACGGGCATTTTTTTTAAATAAATTAACAGTTTAAATTTAAAAAATATGAAGTTAAATAAAATTATTGATTAAATTTATAGAGACGAATTTAAATAAAATTATTGACATAAGTAGGATTCGAACCTGCGACTTCAGGTGGGAAGTGAGACGCATTTGCGAGTTAAACTAAATTAACTTCTGTTTCTTCTAATTGAAAAACCATAATATTGTGTTCATTAATATTGCATCCCATATGTCATCCATGGACATCATAAGCAACTACCATGTTGACCAATAACCCATATGTCACCATGGACACCATAAGCAACTACCATGTTACCAATGACCCATATGCCATCCATATGTCATCCATGGACACCAAAAGAAACTACCATGTTAAGCAATGACCCATATGGCATCCATGGACACCATAAGCAACTACCATGTTAACCAATGACCCATATGTCATTCATAGACACCATAAGCAACTACCATGTTGACCAATGACCCATATGTCATCCATGGACACCATAAGGAACTACCATGTTGACCAATGACCCATATGTCATCCATGGACACCATAAGGAACTACCATGTTGACCAATGACCCATATGTCATCCATGGACACCATAAGGAACTACCATGTTGACCAATGACCCATATGTCATCTATGGACACCATAAGCAACTACCATGTTGACCAATGACTCATATGTCATCCATGGACACCAAAAGCAACTACCATGTTGACCAATGACCCATATATCATCCATATTTCATCCATGGACACCATAAGCAACTACCATGTTGACCAATGACCCATATGTCATCCATATCTCATCTATGGACACCATAAGTAACTACCATTTTGACCAATGACCCATATGTCATCCATGGACACCATATGCAACTACCATGTTGACCAATGATCCATATGTCATCCATATCTCATCCATTGACACCATAAGCAACTACCATGTTGACCAGTGACTCATATGTCATCCATGGACACCATAAGTAACTACCATTTTGACCAATGACCCATATGTCATCCATGGACACCATAAGCAACTACCATGTTGACTAATGACCCATATGTTATCTATGGACACCATAAGCAACTACCATGTTCACCAATGACCCATATGTCATCTATATCTCATCCATGGACACCATAAGCAACTACTATGTTCACTAATGACCCATATTTAATACATGGGTGATACCATGACACCATACGTAACTACCGTATATATTGACATGACCCGTACGTTGTTTGTATATAAATTTTGGTTTAATTATAAAAGCATAAAGATGAATAGTTTATTAATGTTTAATCTTCATTTATAATTTTAAATTAAAATTATACTATGAACAACTCGTTAGTGTATGTTCTTTCTTGACGTTAGTTAGATGTATATACCCTATCTATCAATCTGGAACAAATTTAATAAATTTGAATTACTAGATATTTAGCGGTAATTAGTACAGTTCGAATTTTTGATTAGAGGAGTTTCAAAATATTTTGCAATTTGTTTCCCTCCAACCTACACACGTTTAGGCTGCATATTAGGGTAAGTATATTGTTTAGAAATAGGGTTTATATTTTCTGTAATCATCATCTCCAACAACTAATTGATCGAAAAATAATTTTTGTGCACTGACTTGGGCGATATAGGTTGTCACTCATCTAAAATTAATTTTTATTTAATTTATTGTTATTGTTATGATCATTTATTGTTTTCTGATCATCTTCATGTATATTATCATCTTAAATTAGAAGTAAATTGGTTTTGATTGTATTCAATACTTTGCATGCCTAGTAATGCCTTCATATATAATTTAATTTTATTATTTGTTTCTCTCTTTTCATCAATACTTTATGATCTTTAATACATTGGTATTGAATATAGTTTTTTGGTAATTTTTAAGCAAGAAAGATGTCGAACTCGAAATCAAAAGGAGCATCTGCTGTGAAGCCAACTAAATTCATTGCACCACAGGTTATGAAACGTGTAACATACACGTTTTAAAATACTGTTTTGTAATGAATAAAATTGTGAAATATTATGTAAAATTGAGTGTTGATTTCTAACAGATGGTTTTAACTAGAAATGAAGTAAAACTATGTTTAGAATCACTTAGAAAATATTGGAAGTCTTATGAGATTCTAATTAAAAGCCAAATAGTGAAATTTAGCGAAAATATGAAATTTTAAATAAGTAAAATTTTATTATTTGATGTTGTAGAGGATCTCGTTAGAAAATTGTAGGCGAAAACCTTGTCAAAATCCGAGTTATAACGAAGAAGTTATGACCAACCGAAGATCCGCGACAAAACTGGCACGGCGCCGAATGACGTAAAAGTGAGTTTTTGATAAACTACTTTTTAGCCTTAGTAATCTAAATGAAAGTCGTAGTATTCGTTAAAACAAGAAATTCGATAAAAAGAACGCCAAAATCTGACTTCGTATGAGGAAGTTATGATTTTTCGAAGTTTCAACTTAGCTGTAGACAGCTGTTGGGTACTTGTTGTTGCGTCTTGGGCTCGCTTCCTAGCCCATCTTGTATATGGCATGGGCCTGTCCATCCATATCTTATTTTCTAGGGTTTGTGTATTAATAGATGCTTGCATGCATCTTTTTCATAACTGATAGATCGGGGTTTTTATGTGTAATTTTAGAAGATCTCTTTTGTAACCCTAGAATCCTCTACAGCGGAAGTTCTTTATCGAGCTCTGCTGAGGATTGAACGTTCTAATCATTCAACACATTCAAATCCATTCTTGAGTATCGTTTCATTGTTTTACTTTCTTTATCTGCCTGTTGCAAAGATCTAATCGATCAAAGAGTTTTAGTAACTCATCAATTGGTATCAGAGCAGGAGACTGTGTAATTCATACACATCTCTTCTGTGAAAGAAGCTATTAGGGTTTATTCCGCATTAACTAATATTTATTGAGCCGTCACTCCATAATTGACGTATCTCATTACTTATTCGTCTTGCACTAATATTATATATTACAAGTCTGATCTTTCAAACAGGTTATTCGATCAAGCATGGACGAGTCGCAATCCAATCCCATTAATATTTCGAACAGCATTAGATCAACAACGAAGATTCCCATCCTTTACACCTAGGATTATGAAGTCTGGGCACATCACTTTGAAGATTATGTTATAGGATCTGAGGACAATGGATACCTCATCTGGGAAGCAATCGTATCGGGACCCTTCGCTCATTCTGCAACTTCAAGGATTATTAAAACTCAAAAGGAGTATAATGATCTTTTGAAAGATGTTAAAGATATTGCCCAAGATGAAAAAGATAAATTTCAGTGCAATATTAAAGCATTGAGATTAATCAGATTCGCTCTTCAATCTGACACTTTCAGGCTGGTGAGTTCATGTTCTACTGCCAAAGAAATATGGGACAGGCTTCGAGAATTGTATTCTACGGACGAAGATCTTGAACACTCAGTTCAAACCTTACTCTTTTCCGAGTTTGGTGAATTCAAGCAAGGAGCTGAAGAAACTGTGACTCAAACGTTCGATCGCTTCAATCATCTTCTTAGCAAGATGATTAAACATGATATTGAAAGGAAGCTAATTGAGCAGAAGGTTACGTTTCTGAACGGCCTCAGATCTGAGTGGAGAGCCGTAGTGTCCACAATTAAAGTGCATGAGCAATTCAAATCTTATTCTCTGGCGAAACTGGTAGGCATTCTGAAATCTCAAGAAAAGATCGTACTACAGGAGAAAAATGTAGTTTCAAGCCTGGGTTCATTGGCCCTCCTATCCAAAAGTAAAGCCGTTATGGAAGATGAAGACCTCAACATGGAGGACTATGATCTTACTTCTGAAGACTATGCTATGATGGTATCAAACCCCAAGAGGTTCATCAAGAAAAGATTTCCCATCAATAAGAACCGAAATTGGCAGGGAAGTTATAGTTCTAAAAAGGTCAAAGACGAACCAAAGGCAGAATAATCAAAGAAGGAACCGAAAGCTGAAGGAGATTCGGGAGTGAGCTGCTATTACTATGGAGGAAAGAATCACTATGCAAAAGATTGTGTCCTCAAGAAAATGGCAGAAAAGGATGAGGAAAAAGATGAAGAGGCTTTGTTGCTGAAAAAGCTGGATGAGATCAGGAAGAAGAAATCTACTGCTAACCCTTCTATGAATGCTTTAATTGTGCAGGGTTCGGTAGCGAATGATGAATTCGGAGGAGTGGAAGTCTGGTCATCCGACTCCGAAGATGATGAAGTAAGGAGGCCTTCTCATGGAAAGGCTTATGTGGCGAAAGAGAAGAATAGCGATGGAAAATGCTTGATGGTGTCTGATGTATCTCAAATGAGGGGATACAGCACAGATGGTGGGAATGAAGACAAGAAGGAGCAACAGGACATGTGCTTTACAGCAAAACCG